ATTTATCAATTAAGTTTCAGTGGGGGGTAGGGGGGTTTGGAAAAAAACTAAAGGAATTAAGTTTTTTATCGAACATCGATCTTTTGACGTCGTCCCTTACTTACTCATTTGTTGACAAAGCAGATCTCTAACTACACTTGCTGGTCTAGAAATCCATTCTAGATGTTGAAGTCATGCAGCCAGCAGGGATACACATGCAATGTGACTCAGTATCAATTATAATATATAAACAGTTGTTTAAGATCAAATATAAAATACTGCAACTAAACTTAAGTACAACCTCACACAACCTTTTCACTGTGGTCTTGAGTTTGTTTCTTACCGAAGCAAGCTTTATCGTCAACTATAAATTAATTGTAGCTGTAGCATGAGCCAGCAGTGTAGCATTGTCTACTCCAAATATAATAACATATACTGGCTCCTTGCGACACCTGTCTATCTATCCTCCAGATCCTAGTGGCACATAGAACAGAATGGAGACGTTTGGTAGAGGTCCTATCAGCTGCTGCAATTCTGGCTTCTACCCATGACTTCCATCCAGCCTTGTTTCTTACCTTTTCAACAATGCATTGCCAAGTTGTTTTGTGTCTACCCCGTTTTCTTTTCCCGTCTGGGGCCCAATGTCAATGCTGTTTTATATATACATATATTTGTAGAATCCTCTTTTAAGGTGTGCTCAATAAATTTCTCTTTTCCAGTCCTGGTTAAAAGTTCTTCATTCCTGACATGGTCTTGCCATTTTATCTAGGCAAAATGGCAACAGCTGTACTGTCGGCCAATTAGCTGATGATATTGCTCACAAGGTGTACAAAAAAAATTTGAAGCTGCACTGTAAGAGCTCAATTAATAGTGACAGTTTGGTTACCCAAGTTTTTTATTGTCCCTACCCCCAACCCAGCCTGTTAATCTTGTGTTAAGACCAATCTATTGATCATTCATTCAGGTTTACACTGGTTTAGATTTGTGACTTTTTCTTTTAATTCCAGGCTATTGGCAATGCGAAAACAATCCGTAACGACAACAGTAGTAGATTTGGAAAATACATTGAAATTGGATTCAGTAAGAAAAACCTTATAATTGGTGCAAATATGAGAACGTATCTTTTGGAGAAATCTCGCGTGGTTTTCCAAGCAGCGCAAGAAAGAAACTATCACATCTTTTATCAGCTGTGTGCAGCTGCATCGGAATATAAGGAATTTATGCTGAGTAAGTTGATCATATTTTTTATCTTGATGGCTCAAACTGTTATGTGTGCCCTCTTTAGGCCAGTTTGCACAGATTAATCTGTACAGAATCAAGAAAAAACACCAATACGGTCACTGGTAGCATAGTGGTTGTCGCTTCAGACTCATGATCAGTAAACCCAAGTTCAAATCCTACCTCGGGCTGAACACCAAAAAGGGTCAACCCCTACCCTGGGTGAGTGTGCCACACACTCGATTGGAAGGCCTATTCCACTGGCCGAGATTCATTCACTAACGAAGGCAATTTTGGGGGAACCTTGGTTAAGGTCCGCAGGTGCTCGTGTTCAACCAAGCCTGGTTGATGCCATCAAATTGCCATTTGATAGAGAGATGGTCACACAGCCATGTCGTGTAGTCCCAAACTTGAATATGGTCTCTGGCAAAAATGCACTACCGGTACATTGTGTATGTATTTCATATATATTCATGGTCGAATCTGAACACATTAATCTTACTGTGTAAATCGAACAAACTGATGTGTAATCAGATTTATTCAGACGCAGTTTCTTCCGATACGTCAGATTATGTAAACTTGCCTTTACAGGGCTGTATTTTTATCCAAAAAAGTCAAAATGAAACCTCAGAATAGACCATTTTCCATTCACTGCGAGAATCATGCGTTATGCGTGAAATCGAACGTAAAAACAGGACAAACAAAAGTCATAGCATCGTAGTGGCGCCAAAAGTTGCAAGGGATTCAACAAACACGAAAATATTTTTGGGGGCATTTCCATGTTTAATAATGTGCTGTCCGCATTTGATGATAGACAATTTCGATTAAGTGAGGGTATTCAAAAGCAGTATTCCTCTGTCGAAGATCGACCGGTCGATGTGAGCTACGAAATAAAAAAAATTGAGTTCAAAATCAAATCGTTTGATTTTTGCGGCAGACATGAGAGAAAGATTTTATTTTTTCACACTGATTTTGTGAAGAAATCTTGTAACTATAATAAGATTGCAAAGTAGGTAAGATCACTGCTATATCAATGTATTATGATGTATTTTAATGCACCAGAGAATTAGGCCCAATAAGGTACCGGTACGTCATGAAAAATATCTTCTGTGACGTGTCAAATTTTGCTCAGTCTCCTGTAGCCAGATTTGTTTTGATTTTGATTCAGGTAGTCCAGATGATTTTTACTACACAAGTCAAGGTGAAAGTCCCTTTGTTGGAGGAGTAGATGATGCCGATGAATTTGATGAAACCCGAAAAGCTTTGCAATTAATAGGTATGTGTCATAAGCAAATTATTTGTAACGTATTGTGGTTTTAACTTGTGACAAAAGTTGACTGCCACTCGAAAGGATGAACAAAAATTTGTATACTGTAAAATACTTTATTTTAGCTGGAATTAATTTTTGCCGAAATGACTTTTTGGGTCTTTTGTATGGAATTTATTTTCACTGATTTTTGGTGAGTTGAATGTAAGATATAAGGAAAATGGTATATTCGCTGGATTTTATTTTCACTGAATCATTCCTTCAGCGAAAATAGCGAAAATAAATTCTAAGTGAAAATAAATTATTTTACAGTAAGTTGTTAAATAACTGATTGGTATTTGTATTTTGCTTGCAGGTGTTACTGAATCACAACAACTGATGGTATTCAGAATACTGGCAGCAATTCTACATTTTGGTAATGTGGATTTCTTAGAAGCAGATAATCAAGAAAGCTGTAAAGTTTCTGTGAGTATTCATTTTCCTGTTTCGTGCTGTTTTTAGGAGTTGCGTTTTTTGGCTAACCATTCACTTAACAATGTCAATCTCACAGAGCAAAGCGTGATTGTTCAAGGTTGCTTCTCCTATCGTCATGGTTATACAGTTTTGTACAACACATGTGGGTCGATGTCACAAGACATTGCCTTTTTATAGTACATGTACTTGTATACGAAAAACAGATTTTTTTTTATTTAATA